ACTATGTTTCACTTTTTATCTAGAATGTAAATATTTATGCGGTGTTAAATAATGGAGCTTATTTAAACCGGAAATAACCTACATGACATTTATGTTCTCTTCATGAGCAGATGCCAACATTTTCGCCGTTCGCGGTGCCTGATTATGTATAAATTTCACGGCTATCATAACAGTGAGAGCACCAGCAGGCACCTCTGGTGTTGAAACTGATGAAACTGGCTAGCTGCTCGGAGCACATCCGGCAGTGAAGCTATGCCGGTCTGACTTTCAGTGTCATGTTCGACGGAACGGACCGAGAGAACCGATACATCAGCATAACACAGGCCAGGGTGCATTCGAGTCAACAGATAACAAATGCACCGCTCGGCTGCCTGGCGCTCCGAAGCCCTTCCATTCGTCAATCACATGGTAGTCTGGCGCCGACATTTCCATCTGGGGCGTGGTTCGTGTATGGCTCTGACGTATCTCCTCGCTGGTGTGGTTAGACGGTTTTACCGTCCAATACGCCAATGTGCATCCAGCGGGCCCTGAAGCTCGGTGGGGCTGCGGCAGGCCATTACTGGCGGCCTGCGCCCGACTGGTGACGTCGGAGGCCATTTCTGTACCGTGCCCTGAGGCCGGTGTCAGCGGCAGGGGTGGTGCGCCTACCTAGGTGGAACGGGGCCGGTCACCTGCGTCACATTGGAGTGGCCTTATTGGCCATTCACTAATCTCGTCGTGTTACTCCCTTCGTTCCTTCGCGCGACACATATCGATGTATTACCGAGAACCAATGTTCATTCATAGGTATATATTGTTTTATTTTTAAAAGCATGCCAGTATGACACTGAGTGCGCATCAGGAATCATCACTGGGCCATCACTGGGTTGGCACTGGGCCGGGAGGGAGGGGGGGGGGCTAGCGAAGAAACATTTTCGAGTGATTGTTCTTGTTACAACTTTTCACCTCTGAGACGGCGCCCTCTCTTTTCAAAAACTTGCGGAACACTAAACGCGGATAGAATTGGAAGACAATTCCCTTTTTTCAGTAAGTATTTCCTGGCGCGAACTCAGAATGTTTTTTTTTTTCGCCGTTTGTCGGGATGTTTTGCGGTGTCCCGCTTTGAAGGAGCGACATTCAAGTCACTGATTTAGCGAACTTAATTTAAAAGTTGGATTAATTACCTAATTTATTTACGTTTTAAGCTTCTACTTCTGAAAACGCCTTGCCCAAGTTTCCAAAAAGACGTCAGTTTGAAGTACCTAGCTAGTATGGAAATAGCATGTCTCAATAGCTCATTACAAAGTCAGGTGGTAATCGAGTTATGGAAAGAGACCAGTTTGAGCCGTTTTGGACTCCTCTGTTTTTGACAGCATTGTTCTAACTAGACGCACTGAGCGAGCAAGTGCGTCAGATTGAGTGACTGATTTATCTGACATTAACTGCATTAATGCATTAATTGTCGACCCATACTTTTTCTTATACTATAATGTCTTTATAATGTCTCGTAATATTCTTATAATGTCTCGATTAGTGGATGATATGGATGATACTATAATAGTCAAAACTTAGAATTAAATTGCTGTTTTGGTAGCATAGCAAACTCGAATTTATTCTTTCCGAACATTCTATTGAAATGTGTAGGTAATGAGCTTTCCGATGGCTCTTAGGCCAGCATGTAGTTTTGTGTGTTGTGTGACTCTACAGTCTACACATTACACAATGCATCTACATCTACATCTACTCATTTACGTTCCGAACAATCGCAAAAAAAAACTTGCGGCAGCAATGATGTCACCCGCTCGACTGGGAGGAATAAATGAAAATGCTTTGTTACCACAGATGTCACATATCATTTATCAAAATTTATTTTGATGGATTGCTGGTGGATTTTGACGTTGTAAGCCGCTCAGTGGTTCCCATTTCACAGCCGATAGCTTGTTGCTGAGCTCCTACGGCCAGGAGCCCCACTTCCTTCCAGCTCACTGCACCCACAGCTCATGTCTCCCAGCAGAGCCCCCGAGCTTATGGCGCTGGACGCCGACCGTGACCACTGCACCCTGCCCATGTCCAGCTGATTGGGGGTGTGACGTCTTGTTTCGTCACTGATGACGTGGGCGGGCCAGCTCCCTCGGGGCTGGCGGCTGGGGCTACCGCCCAAAAGAAATACTGAAGTAAACATATACGGATGTTAGTACGTGTCCACAGCATTCATGCCTTGCACTTAGAGCAGAACTCGTTTAGACCGACGATCTACGCCTGTTTTCGAAGTTGCGCCCGAAGCCAGTCCGAAGCTGTCGTGATCGCCTACCACCAGTCTTAGCATACGTATGCAGTATACACCTCTGTACCGTGCAGCTCTGTTTCTGGGAGCGACTGGTTCCCGTTAGGTGACCGACGCCCTGTTATTTCAACACCCGATATCCCTGATCGGGGCGGCTGCGCGAGCGCTTCGTATCAAGGGACGCCCACGCACCTCCGGACATATCATGCGTTTACCCGGAGCTGGCTGTTTGTGGTGAGGTTTTGTGGAAACGATACGGTCGTCTCCTCTTTCACAGTTAATCTACAGTACTGACAATTTTTGATGACATCGATAAATAGTTAGAAGCTATTTTTGTTTTGCCACTACGAACAATACCTAATACGGTTTTTCACCATGATTCCTAACGTAATTCGAAGAATACAATTTATCGCATGGTTTGGACTGTCAAGTATGTGCACTATTACTCACTTGTATTTCGTCGAATAAAAATTGCACTGCATATGTATTCCAACAGGCGTTAGATATCTACGATTCTGAAATGGAATCTGGCTCGCATCCATGGTTTTGAAACTCATGTTTTGCGGCGTGAACAGTGAACACCGATAGAAGCCGTCCATCTGAACACGCCCTGTTTACTTCTCCGAAGCCGACACATTCCTTTCGGAGCGGCCCGTTTCCGGCTGGCGGCGTTCCGAGGGTTCCGAGATGGTCGACTGTGCCGGCTTTGTGCCGTCGGTATCGGGCAGACGACACAGAACTGTCCCCTGCCCGCACGTGGGCCGTTATAAACCGCAACGGCTCGGCTCGGCCGGTCATGGGTCCAGCTGCTCCGCCCGGCTGGTCACGAGACGCACTGCAGGTGGACCTTGTCCTATTCACCCTGCCCTGGTCCAGTCCGGTCAGAGGGGGCACTGTGGCACACGAAATAAACTCTGACCTCACCTGGACCCACAACATTTCCAGTCAGCTCAGGATCCCCCCTGGTCCAGTTCGGTTAGAGGAGGCATGTCGGCAGATGAAATAAACTCTACTTGACCCACAGCACTTCCCCATCTCCCACTTCATCTCTGTGCTCCACAGAAAATGACCAAGTTTATGAAGTTTACAAATAAATCTCTTTATTTAATGTCTGTCTATCTTCATTCCGATTTTCTTTCCTTCCTCTTTATATCGCGTATGTTTGTTTTCTTTCCCGTCTCTTCCTTTTTGTCGCCGTATTGTTTGTCATGCTTCCGTCTTTTCTTTTCTATTTGCTCTTCACATTTTTCATTTTCAATTCCTTCTATATCAGCTGTTTTTCTTCCCTTCTCTTTCATACTCTTCCCTAGTATACATATTCCCCTTTTCATGCCGTGAGTTGTATAGTCGACTACAGAATGATGTTCCACTCATCAGAAGCTATCAGTTGACCGCAGCGCTAAGTTGTGCCGTTTATCATGCAATGAAGCGTGTCGATTGTGAGCATTGGGACAAAGCTATAATCTGTGAACTCAGCCCGTGTGATGCGGCACAGCCTACCACTCCAGGCAAATAATTCCTGTGAGAAGTGGAACATCATTCTGTAGTCGACTATACCTGTAAACCCTTACGGCTTTTCTCTCCTATATCCTCTCCTTGTCCGTAACCATCTCCCTCGCCCTCTCCTATCGCCCGTACATACATACCTCGCAGACGGCGGTGCAGCGGCCAACTACCATCACCTTCCGGCTCGCCAGCCCCATCCATCAACACCGCGTCCCCTCCGCTCGTGCCGTTTCCGTGCAAACCATAGTGACCCTGACCGGTGAGTCTGGTGCACTCCAGAGGCACGGCCGCCCCATCCTGCGGCCAGGCGCGGGTTCAGCATCCTGTGCCGTCCTTGGCTCGGTGCAGAGTTCGGCAGACTGGCGGCCGTGACAGGGTTCACCGTGCGAGTGAACTTGTGGAGACAGTCTGCATGGTTCTTCAGCGTGCGCCGGATCACACTCTGCTAAACTGTCGGTGTTATAAATGTGGTGTCAGAGAAGCCATCCTTGGGTTAAAAATCTTCGCTATATGCGTAACTATGTTCATTGGTCATGTGCATTCGGTTAGATGTTTCATTTTTGCAATGATGGGTAGAAGTATGCGATGCTTCCAGGGCTTAATTTTTTGTTTGATTATTCATTGCATCCAGTCCCGTTGAGTTGATCTTGGATGGAATACTGCTCTGACACAATATTGATGTGCTACTTAGCGTGGTTCGACTAATTTTTTATTTATCTTTTTGAATACCGAGAAAATTTTAGCGCAGCGTCACTTGAGGCCACATAACGCAGTCGATAAGCGACCTAACTTTAGCAAAAGATACTTGCTCATTTTAATTTTCAAACGACGGAACGATTGGTTTATGGCTATCAGCGATTTTTCTACAATGATTCTCACGGAAGGACTGAGGACGCACACATGTATTAGCGGTGCAGTGAGCGCACCGCACTGCTAGGTTACGGCCAACGCCTACGGGTGCGGCAGCCTATTGCGATACGGACGCCACCCGTTGGCATACGGGGAGCGGCCTATCTGCTATACATATATGCTTTGAGTGAAGGTTAAGGATACGAAAAACAGACGGTAAAGGATACGAAAAACAGGCTATATCGCTTATATGAACGACGGACGTCATATCCTGCAAACGAAAGACAGGCATTGCAGACAAGGAGAAGGCTCGGCTGCGGGATAAATAATGACACATTTCTGAACTCACACGGTTCGCCGTTATCATTACAAACATAATCGCCTTGACAATGTATAAATGTATTTCTAAAAAATGGCATCATTTTGTGACAAGCACGCGTTAAATAACTAGTACGATCAACAACGAATACACGACTGTTCTGTCGAACGTTTACTGGGCTTTACCACCCTGAGTAGCGTATGTGACAATCGTATTCTGGGCGATGCTGAGGCCCCACCACAATACAGTGACCTCCCAATCGCACTACTGGCTGCCGCATCCCTATCGGTTTGTCTGTCTATCCCCTGAACGTGGTGAAACGGCTGCGGCCGAAGCGGTTGCCGCCGAAGCGATTGCCACTGAAGCTGAAGCGGTTGCCGCTGGGCCGGAAGCGGTTGTTGACGGGCCGGAAGCGGTTGTTGACGGGCCGGAAGCCGCTGCTTACGCCGAAGGTCTGCTGGTTGGACTGTGCCAGTGTGTTGGACTGGCTGTTGCTGCCGAAGAACCCGTTGGTGCTGACGTTGGAGGCGAAGGCGGTGTTGGTGCTGGAGCCGGAGCCGTTCACGGAGCCCTGCCGTCGGAGGAAGGTGTGGGGGGGGGGAGTGAGGAAACATTATTGGCTGCTATTAATCGTTAGGTATCATAGTTTCTGTTTAGGTGGAGGCACATCACTGGGCACATTAATTCTAAGTTATCCTAGACAACTACAATCACAGCTGCGCATGTAGTTGCTGTCTCTAGCGGCACTGGACATCAATATAGTACGGGCAGTTGATAAGATCGTGCTCATTACATTCACGACTGCATTCGAATTGATTGATGGTCCGGATGGTCCACCGTTATCTGATGCTCCAAAAATAGAAACTCTTCAACGTTGGCTCGTGAAAAATAGCTCGAACGGTCTATATGTATTCTGACGGCAGTGCCGGATAAAACCGGCCTGAACTGGGTGAAAAACGAGCCCCGGCGGTTCCGGCCAGACCTGACCTTTAGCATAACCCGGACGGGGGCAACTAATCTTAAACTTACTTCAGACAGGACAGGGGTTACTGAACCTTACCCTCACCCGCACAGAGCAGGGGTAAATATTAACTAATATTTACTGTCATGCACAAGGATAAATGAACTTCACCGTGACCTGAGCTGAAGAACTGACCTTTGCCGTGTCCCATACAGAGGCTTCTGGCCTTTATCGCGCCCCGGTCAGAGGCCTCTAGCCTTTACCGTGCCCCGTTGAGAGGCTACTGACCTGCGCCGTGGCCCGGTCAGAGGCTACTGACCTTTACCGTGCCCCGTTGAGAGGCTACTGACCTGCGCCGTGGCCTGGACGGAGGTGATCTGCGCGTTGTTGCTGGAGCCGGTGGTGACGGTGCCCTGAGCTCCGCCCGTGGCGCTGGACGGGCGACCGATGAAGAATTGCGGGGCGGCAGAGCCGACGGCCACCAGGCAGCACAGGAGGACCAGGGTCTTCATGACTGCGGAGAGACAGGTTGGGGTGGATGATGCAGGTTCTCCTCAGTCGTGCTTACGGAGAAGTATGTAATTACGACACTGTATAGACCTTTACCGCGAGCTGCGTGGTAAGGTATTGGTTTCATGAGAAACTAATTGCTGTTGTTCAGTATATCTTGTCGTTATTCCACTACAATATAAATAGCGCGATGACGCACGGATGCTGAAGCCACGTGGAGAAACTCTCTCCCGACTGTCGTTCAATAGCTATCTGATATCGATTCCTGCTTTGGCGATTGTAGCCAAAACCGAACCCGACTAACACCCAAGGGTCGTCTACGGCTATCAGGACGAGCGTTCCCACCGAACTGGAATTAGAAAGGTATATAGTACGTGACCGGGGTGGCTATGAACTAGCGGCAGACCCCATCGCCACTGTCGTGACGCTGACCTCAAGTTTCCGGTAAAAATAGTACGGTGTGGAAAATCGCGAAAGAGGGGTGTTGTTTTACCGATGAGTGGGCGAAACAAATGGTTTGTGGCGTTTTTTGCGGCCTACTCATTAACATAGGGATGCTATGTGACGAGGCGTGTGTGTGAGGCTGTTTTTTGTGACATGCTAATAAGTAAAGGGATTCAATGTGAAGCATTCCATGTACGAGCATAGGAGCACTGAAGTTTTGAAGTTTTATGTTTTTGTAGCTTTAAGAATGGAAGGAAAATTTATGTGTGCCTATACTGTATAATTACATAGGGTCGCATTTACCTACTACTTTTTTGCCTAACGGAGCGAAATGGAGCAAGATTGTTAACATGAATATGAACATCAAAAATTGATTACGCACCTGTAAATGATAGCTGCTGGAATGAATTTTTATTCACATTCCAGCTCTATTCCGGCGGCACTCAATGGAATTATTGCTTTACTGTGTTGGGAATGGGGACTTAGGTACCATAGATGCAATTGCACTTATTTTCAAGTTATAGGTACCTAATTACGGCAGAACTTGGAGAGACCCCGAGAACTATGCGCTGCCTTATAGCTTAGGTATAGCTTAGGAATACAAAAATATCAAGCGTGAAGCTGATAAATGATCTCTGTGATTACTTGCTGAGCTGACATAAATTCCAAATTTCCAGAGCGACCCAATACTCATCCCCATCTACGCTACCCGGGTTCCCTTGAGGATAGCGTAACATCAGCAGCCATTCTGATATTGCTGCTGAATAAACATTGCTTCTCTGTCTTATCATCCCATGTGGCCAACCAGCGTGGTCAATGTCGCTATTATATGCGGCTAGCGTCGCCACGCATAGATGCTTTTGAGATCGGACAGTTGTAGCGATCGGCAATAGGGCTCATATAGTTACGGTCAATAATTGAGCCCTTGCGGTGCATACATGTGCGTACATTGTGCAATGTGCAGCTGCTTTCAAAATGTTTTAAGCAGTCTTGTTGCTGAAATTGCATGAATATGGAGGTATCTTTACACGATTTGTTTGACTATTCAAACGTAAATCATTTCAAACGTTTAAGTTTGTTGATTTAAAAATGTACTAAATTTGATCAGGGACACATACTCAACTAAGGACAGCCCGGACCCGGGCGGTCGGCTCACCTGTTGCGGGTTTGTGTTCTCTGTTAGCTCTCGAAGTCGACTGGTGTCGATCTGTTCCGTCTGTTCCGTCTATCCGTTGGTCCTTCCGTGCGCCCTCCGGTGACCTCTGGTTCCGTCCCGCCATTGGCAGACGTTCTTATACCAATCCGGTTTTGCCTCTTGTGTCGGCGACCCTGGCCTGAACTGGGATTTCACAGAACAGAGGCGTGGCTTTCAGTGACAGATAAACGAAATTGGTAGTTTCACCGTAACCGGGAAATCCCCATGTGTCGGTGGAAATTGGAACCAAGTAAGATTTCACAATTTGTTTTGTTTTTACGAAGTTTTTTTTTGTACTCTGGCTTCATTTACATTGATTGAAACTAGCTCTACATCGTCCAAGGCTAAGTCAAAGGTTATTTTAGTGATGCTTTCATCTTGCGTTGAAATACCCGTAGAGCAAGCGAATATAGTGAAAGTCTTCGATTCGATAGTGAGATTCTTCGTAGTTACGCCTAAATACCATTGTGAATTTAGACGAGTATAGACTGGGAGTCCGTTTATCAGAAAAGGAAAATGAAATGGCAAAGGCAACAAATGACGGCAAATCCTAAATTTATAGACACGTCAATTATATTTTTGTGGCTTATGTATTTTTTTTCTTTTGCCCCATTTGTGCTTTATCTCTCCATTTCTTCATTTGTGGGTTGACGGCTCCGTTAGCTATCCCTCTTTGGAACACCTATATCACCACCATCGTCACATGCGCCCGGTTCGTTTGTCCCATATCTCCGCATCAGGCTGAAAGTGCTACCTACCATGTCACTCGGTAAAAGGAGCCCCTCACACATGTGGACGGTGTGTCCCAAGCAGCGAGGTCGGGCCACGTGACTAGTTAGCGCGCGGGGCCTTGTTCAGGTCAGCAGCAGGGGTGGAGGTCACGCACTATGGCGAGGACTATCAGGTGCCTGGTCTGTGTGCTCATTGCTGTTATTTTGGCGAAGGTGAGATGATTGCCTTTGTTTCATTGAAATGGGCTTATTGGAATACATACATTAAGGTTTCAGTCGAAGTTAGATTTAAGTTTTTAGCTTACCTTTAAGATCAATTATGGATCAATTTATTCTAAGCTGAAGTTTAAGTACCTCTAAGTTCATGGGGTCAAGTAGGTATCTTGCCTCATTACGGACTGCGTGGGATCCGTCATTTTCCAAGACCGAAATGTCTATCGGTCTAGGATTTTAATAGCAATTGACAGCTCCATTCAATTCGTACTTCATGATTAAAAGAACCGGACGCTTGATATATCATTCGTCATTTGCGTGTCATATTGTGTGCCCATGTCATCTTTTAAGCTGCAAACACTTCAATTGAAACATAACTGCCACTTAGTTTATTGTTTCGTCATTTAACTGGATATTTGATAATTGCAATTTGATGCTATGCAAATTGCAGTTCTCTGTTTGTTGCCAAAATAGCCAGTGCTGGTTAGTGGGGTGAGCACCTGACATCTGACTCAGCCTTGCCGTGCACGTGACAGGAGATTTCGGCTCTCAATGCGCCCCCTACTCTGCAAGACGACCCCGCAGCCACCGACGTCGCAGCCCTAGTCCCGGACACCAACTCTTCTCCGGATCCGGGATCACCCATGGATCCGCAGGTGGCTCCGGATCTAGACCCGGAGATTCTCTCCCCCTCGGAGTCTGACCAGACGATGGTCTGTGACGAGGCAAACGGCGGCTGTGACGAAGAGGACGTCGAAGAGTTCGACGGTGACGACGCGGCGGGCCTGTCTGCTGAGCCCTCGCTGCTCGAGTGGGCGTTCGACCAGTACTACGCCTCCAAGACGCTGGTACTTGCGGTGGCGAATAAACTGGAGACTCCCAACCACCGGCTCGTGCGCACGGAACAGGTGGGAGCCGCTAACAGCTTCTGTCTCGGTAATCATTAGTCTTCCAAATGCCAATTAATTGTGAGGAGTAGGCGCTAGACTGCTCACGCCTGCCCCACACAAAATGGGAACCCCAGACCGCGGGAAGGGCACATAATTGCTTCACTGATGCTTACATCTGGCAGGAAATATATGTTAAAAGTGCATATAAGAGTACTGCAAATACCAAATTCCAATAGCAAATACCAAATAGTCCGCAAAATATAAGAGTAGGAGTCGTGACTGTATTTCAATAGTCAATCTGTCATCCAGATGTTCATCGGGGCGACTATGACTTTGTAGTTTATTTTTATCAGCTTACCTCACATTTATATGTCGTCAGTCGTACGAGGTGCGGGAATACCCGGCTCACCGCTGGGTCTGCACCCACGAGCTCACCGCCGGCTTCTTCTCGTCCACCGACGGCAAGGACGTCTTCAGAAGGCTCTTCCGCTACTTCAGCGGCAAGAACGGAGCCGGTGAGACGGTCTGCTGGCGCTTTCGGAAATCGGAAACATGTTGAACGTTGCTTGAGTGACTGAAAGTTACGAGGGTTTGAGTGTGCGAGTGTAAATTACGTCAGATAATCTTCCCTTGTTTGCGTTTTCGTTATTTTTTTATCATTTTGATGTACAGCACCTGAGATAATTGGACATGTTTGGCCTATGAACTAGCTTCCTGTTCCTCGGAGCTAACCTTGCTATAATTTTGTTTATCAGACCATTCAGCTGACCTTCAGTGACGCTCATTACCATCACTGACGACGAGTCCTCTGACTCGTGGGCGTGGAGTCACTCACTATAGTCCTCTAACCTTCAGGGGTGCGGAGTCGCTTACCAGTCATCTATTCCCTCAGAGGTACTCCTCCAAATCTCAGGTGCGGAGTCTCTAACCAACCCTCCAACCCTCAGGGGCTCGGATGACAATCACCAGTCCTCTGCTGCTGCACCGTGACCCGCGATACGAGGGTGTCGGCCAGCGATTCGCCGCCTGTCTGCCGCTGCCGAACGCGCACCAGCAGGAGCCGCCGCACCCGCTCAGCTCGCGGGTTCACCTGCAGACGTTCCCCCGGTCCCGCGTGCTCGCCCTGTGAGAACGGCTGAGAGGGACACGGGGGACGGGTGGGGGTCGAGGCTGCAGGCATTTGCCTGATTAATTAGTTAAACATTATTCGAAGCAAAATGGTCTTTAGAAAAAAAAACTATGGAAAGAATTAGGTGCTGTTAGCTGGTACGAGTTCTCAATGATAAAGCTAACTTTCAACTTTTTTCTCAACTAGTCCACAGCCTCTGGCATGTAGGCAATTGTTTTGTAATGCGGCTAAGTATATGTAGATGAATATGGTATGTGACTGCTAATGATGCATTTTTTTCTTTCTGAACAGGAAGTTTTCTAAATATGCCGATGAACAAGAGTGGAAGGAGGAAACGGCTGAGCTGATAGAGGCTGCCAAACAGCGGGCCGAAATCGACGTGGACTACAATAATGTCTACTAGTGAGTACTTGGACTACATGGTCATCGCACGTAATTTTCAAAATGCACCAACGATTGTTTATGGTCATTTTATGCACATTAGGTATTTGTTTATAGTTCCTTGCATATTTTTATTTTTAGCGTAAACGAAAGGGGGAGATCTTAAAATATATTGGCCAAACTCAACATATCTACGAATATACTTCTTTCAATCTTAATGTATTTGTTATATGCTAATGAAACAGCATTCCCTCTGACCCCCGCCCTCCCCGTCTGGCAGCGCCTCTTACGACCTTCCTCAGAAGTTCTGGCACCGGCGAAACGAGGTATGGCTGCGCCAGGCAGCTCCGGCGCGCGAGGACAGCCCTCCAGAGGTGAGGTTCATTTCGACAGGACCGTCGCGTCCCACTGCGTCTCGCTCGCGTCCCACCGCGTCCCAGTCTGTCCCGTGACGGGTGGGACACCAGCTATCGACCTGAGACATCAGCGCGGTCGGCGCCGTCAGGAATGTTTGCCGCCGGTTTTTCTGGTCAGGCGCAGCGCGTGGGCTGTGTTTTTGGGACCCGCGTCCGGGGATTTTACGGGCCTCAAAACGAGTTCCAGGACATGGCCTCGTTGGGACGCACTCGGCGCCTGTGACGTCACAGGTTTTGGTGGAAGCCTGGTGCATTCTAAGTGTGTGTTGTTCGTATGGATGGCGAGTGTGATGTTTTGGTGTGACTTGTAATGGTAGACTACATCATAGGCGTGGATATGCTGTAGTCGTCTGCTCTTGGGATTGAGGCATTGTGTGTGTGCTATTTTTGTTTGACATTTGACCAGAGTTTTACGGAGTTAATATGGAATGTGATATGCTCAATGTTTGTTACTTTTTCGGATACGTGAAAATTGGTCATTGGGAACAAAGTACATTTCTGTGATGTACGTTGGTATACATGTGTGAAACACTTCCCACGGACTAACAGACTAAATGTAGGAGTCAGTAGAATATAAAGCTATAGAATTAAGGCCAGACGAGGAATAGGTGAAGTAAAAATGTAACAGAATCAGAATCTGTGACAAAGTAAGAAAGAACTACCTGTTATGTCTAGCATACCAAATATATCGAGTAGTGCACAACTCGTCCCTGGTGGCGACTTTGATGGTTTCATTATTGAGATAGGGTGTTATCACCATTGGCTGTTATATGACTTAAGCGGTAGGTACACATGCCTTTTGCCGTGATTAATGTGTGGTTATGGTGAAAAGGGGAAATTATTGAAAATATATGTCGATATGGAATGATTTGCTGTTGATGGCAAAACCTGAAGAGATTAAAATAGATTGCCGTAAGTACGTACTCTTTCACCGCAACGTCCTGGTTCAAATAAAGCGATGAAGTACCGCTGGGAAGCTAATGCATGTGAGAGTCTGGCCGTAAGTTTGGTCTCCTGACTGGGAAGTTTACCGTTCGTCAATCTCAAGTCTGCAGCCCTAAGAAGCCGACACTGTCCGGCCCGCCCTCCAAAGCACTGGTTCCGGCCGGCTAATGGCCTGTCTCGCGCACCGGTCGTCATTCATGCGTCGGAAATGTCGCCACCGCGCGCGTTTGCCTCAGTACCGACGCGACGCCCCGCGACGGCTCGGCGCCGTGTAGCCGCCACATACGGCTCCGTGCAACCATTACCACAGTTCTGGACAGTAATCATCACGACATGTGTGGATCGTCCATGATCGTAAATACAATACAGTACAATACAATGCAATACACAGCCGGCGTAACACTTCAACGTGAGATAGATTCCCAACGCCTCCCAGGCTGGCTGTGGGCTGTTGACATATTTGTACCGGGCGCGGCGATCAGTGATAACGTTGTGCCACGTGACGATCAGCCTCGCTGGGTCAGTATCTCCGGAAGTGCCGCGCCATGTCCCATCGCCATCGCGCTATATTTTGCCGCTACAGCGCCACATCTCGCTACCATCTAAGAGCCGAGCAGCCAGCCAAGGGCGCCGTGGGTGATACCGCCCAAGGTTAATTCGATTTTCGGTGACAAGGACGGACAATTAAAACAGACAGGACCCGTCGGGGGAGTGTCAGATGTTTGCTATAGGTCTCCGGCTTTCTGATGAACAGGTTCCCTAGCACAGCTCAGTGTGTAAGGGTGACTATGGAAATCAGGATTAACGTATAATAGAACTATGCAGGATTGACGCGAACACTGAGCACATTCAACGGGTACATACGCACGCACGCAGTCGCAATTGGAAGTCACGGGCATGTGATTGTTCGATTCTATGAAAGGTGACCAATATGAGCAGTGCGCACCGATGGTGAACTTTTCTGAAAGCTTTCGGTAGTGTCCAAAGAATGCTATTGAGTCGTTTCTATAGCATTTAAATAAACCAATAATGGACTTATGCTGCAAGGCGGCGACCAACTTGATCCCCAGGACGTGCTTACGCAAACGTCAAGCATATTTAAATAGTTTGTAAAGGAAACGTGATGTTTGACTTGAACGAATGTCCTTTGGAAACTTGTACAATATTCGAGTCTTACAACACTCCGCTATCGATTACATTCTCATTGCGTCATTTGCCGCCGAACTGTGATATAACTATGCCCTACACACTCTACTAATGTGCGGACATCAATGACTCGCACTGGGTCCCGTGAAAGCAATGAGTGGCGGCACTCTGCATACATGGCCGGTATGGGATCGCATAAAGCGCAGTGCCGCAGGTACACCAGATATGCTGCGCCATGATGCATTGTTGGCCGATGGCCATTCTCACATCCCACGACACCAGTTAAGGTGATGGATCAAACATCTCTCCGGAGCCAGTATTCCAAAGCTAAGCCCTGTCTACCTTTTCAGGTTGTCTGAAAAGCGTGAGCTATCTGCATTGGAAAAAATATATGCGATTGGATCGATAAGCACGTCATTTGTAATATTTGGGTTATCAAATCAAATATTTAGCAATGACTATCATATATGTAGCGGCGTTGAATGATACCAACTTATTGTGCTACTTTTCATCCATGTACTTGTTTATGGATAACTGGATTTCATATTTAAATTTAGGTCGAATGTTCCAATAGATGAGTTGAGCTGGAGCCCACGCTAATCAGAGCTTATTGCGTAGGCACAGACCCCTACCGCCCGATCGGGCGATTCCGGGCAACGGGAGAATTTAGAGGTCAAAGTTTAGCGCGCACATCAAAGCCGGACATGGCCTGTCACAACCAACTGACTTCAATGGATTGTGACTGCTCTCAACAACCGCAGACCATCCCCGTCAGAAGTCTCATATATCGAGCGCCAGGGCGGCTCGAAACCGGGCTCACACCACCCGCGGAGTCGAACGCTCTTCCAACCGAGCCGCGGGATGGCTGATGTGCCCCCCCCCTCCTTCAATAGGGTCCCTGAAGAGTTGTCCGGAGGTGTGGCAGCACGACAGTGACAGACTGGCTCTCTATTTGTGACGCTCCCCTAATCCCATGGGTACCCCTAGCGCCGTTTATACCGTCCGGACCACCCGTGTCCCTCCCCTAAGCACGCCTGTTAGACGATGATTGGTGAGCCCCTCTGACCGAGACTTGAGCGCCGCCCGGGCGGGGCCAGCTCGAGGAAAGACTGGCGGAACTGGGCATTCGTGGAGTCGGCTAGCCCGAACCGGTCGTAGATACAGAAATCGACGGGCCGCGGGGAGTTGGATTGCCGACCGGCGTCGGTATCGACGTCCTTGTAACGGAGACTGAAAACTGCACGGCCGGCGCCGGGACGATGCGTTCGTCTCTGCCGACCGGTGATTTCTTATTCACCCTTGAGATGCAAGGCCTAGCCCTCTCGACGTGCATAAGTTAAGAAGTTACGCTCATTCCGTTCAGGAGAACCGGGCTCTATTTGCGGTCTGTTTATGTTCTTAGCTTCGATGTGGGTGATGCCAGGACTCGTATTTCTGGGAGCTGTTGAATAGAATTGAAAATAATATTTAATATTTGTATCATCATTGTGTCCAAATACAGTGTGTTGTTAAGGTGACAAGTAATGAAAATTTTATTTATTGAGTGTATTTTAGTTTAGACGGTTCCTCGGGAATGCATTTTGAACGGTGATATGCCAATTTTGCAAGATCTGAATTGTTTCTCGTCAACTTACAATCATCCACCACAAATTTTTAACATTAGCCGACATACGAGACCGGGACACGACTGGGCAACTCATTCCATTTCACTACCTGGGCTGCGCTATCGAGAGCCGCTGTCCGCCGCTGCCGGCGCTGCGGCCTCGTGCCGAGCTGCGCGCGCTGCGCTGCGCCGACTCCTGCTTCCCGCTGGTCAGCTCGTGCACGATCGCCGGCGGCTCCGGCTCGGGGACATCCTCCACGTCCACAAACGGCAGCAGCGTGAACGCCATCACCTGGTTACGCATGATCTTCGGCTTGGGCACCGTCGGAATCGGCTTGTGACGCGACTTGCGCTCATAGTTTTCTCCAAGAATCGGCGCTGGCCTTCGTGTGCCTATCTTGTCGTCCAGGTTGAGAGTGGAGCCGTCCATCGCCTGGCTGGCGCGGAGGCGAGCCTCGCGCATTCGTCGAGACCGCTCTTTGAGTTCTGCCTGGCCTCGCATCAGTTCGGAGGCAGCTAGCAAAATCCCCATCTGCACCAGGTGCCACTTGGGGTGCTTCCCTCCGTGCATGACCTTCAGCGTGGTGCTCGAGGCGACGCGGTGGACGTCGCGAGGAATCCGGATTGGTATTTCACGTAGCTTTAGCGGCAATGTCAGATTCCAGAACTTCTTCTGGCCGAATATTCCGATAAATCGCCCGCAGAGTGTCCACAACCGGACGCTGCAGTCGGCACTGGCGGTGACCAACAGCTCGTGCGCCTCCACGAAGTCTACAGACATGACGGTGCGCACGTGCGCCCGGAATGAGTTGAGGATGTGCGGTCGGAACGACGCCTTGAGCCAATCGAGTTTCAGCATGCGACGCATCATGCTGAGGTGCTTTCCCAGCAGCGGGAACTTTTTCTTGTAGAAGGCCCAGTTGACGGGCTCCGGATGGTCCGTGCAGTAGTTCTCGATGAGCCAGACACGCACGTAGCCCGCAGTGTCGCCAGTGACCAGGTATCGGTTTCGCGAGTCCGACACCATTGTCAGACAGTAGTCACCGACGGAGTTGCAGGCGCGGAACTTGTGCAGGAGGCCGCCCTCGTGGTGCAGCGACCACGCCTGGACAGTACCGTCGGCGCACGAAGCCAGGAGGGTGGCCGTGCTTGCCGAACTGATGCGACTTTGCAGGAACAGGAGTTTGTGGATGGCGCGCTCGAAGCTTCGGTCGCTGCTCTCCGGAGCGGCCTCGCTGGCGGCGCTTTCGGCGGTGTCTTTGGCGTTGTCCTCGTCGCTGGAGGACTCATGCAACCACGTCGGCTCGTTGTCTTCGCCCTCTACCGGCTGCGATGCGGTCTGCGAGCGTTCCTCCACTTTGCTGGCGGTGCCCATCAGCTCCCGCTTGGTGAAGTTGAGTACCATGTTCTTCTGCTTCTCCTTGTACTTGGTCATGGCGCCGAGCCGCTGCTTGTCCTCCACCTCAGGCACCATGCTGCGCCCGGCGTTGACCATATCGACGCTGAGCCTGCTGTACAGGTGACCTGTCTCCAGGTTCCAGACGATTATCTCGCCGTCGTAGGCGCCGGTGGCCACCAGACTGGGGCTGCGGAAGTCCACTGTGAGTATATCCTCTTTGTGTCGCTTCATCCACTCGCGCACGCTGGTGTCCTCGCGATCGTCGAGGAAGACGGTGATTCCGCGGTTCCAGCCACAGCAGACGATGCGCTGTTTGGCAACGAGCACGCCGGTGACCTCTCTGCCGCCACCGGCCTCCATCTGGCGCAGGCACGCGCCGTTGTTGAAGTTCCAGATCTTGACGCGGCCGTCGCGGCCACCGGTGATGAGGCGGCGCAGCGTCGGGTCGAACGTCATGCACGTGATCTCGACGGGCACACTCTGGCCGTTGCGGCGCGTGGTGTGTGCGTTACGGAACTGCATCACCTTCTGACCAGTGGTGAGCTCCCAGACGGTGATGACAGAGCCGTGACAGCCGGAGACGACTTTGTTGAAGAGGTGGTTGTAGATCGCCGCCGTCACCACACGCTCGTGTGACTGAATCTCGCGCTCGCCGGCCTGCACCACCATGTTCTTCTGCAGCACGACCATGATCTGGCTGGCCAGCACCAGCTGCTGGATCTTGGGGTTGTAGAACATGGCCGTGAAGAAGGGCAGCGAGACGTTGACGTGCAGCCGCTGCGGCGACACCGTCTGCACGCACACCTGTTCGCGGAGGTCCCACACCTTGACGCACTTGTCCTTGCTGAGCGAGATGATCTGCTCGTCGGCCGGACGCGCCAGGATGTGCGAGATGGGTGCGTTGTGACCGATGAAGAGCATTGACGGTCGGTTCGTCATGTAGGTGTTCCACACTCGTACCGTACAGTCCATTCCACCTGAAACAAGCAGCGGCCATTGCAGTTGTGGAAATCAAGCGCCATTGAAGGATGACGCAACAACGAGCCTTACTGCGTCACAATAAGGAGATATTGATGATTATATTCATTACGATGAAAACAATATTTTCACAACATGAGGCATATCATATCTGTAACCCTCACATGTGACTTTAAATGGACGTGGATTCACCGCCTCTGCCACTGACCGGTGACGATGACTCCCTGCACATTGTCGTAGTCGAAGCAGGTGATGCCGCGCCGGGTGCTGAAGATGTAGTTGGCCTTGTTGCCGGCAGTCTCCACGATGGCCATTGAAACTTCGTTCGATAAAGCACAGGATATGAATCCGGCCAGCTCTGGAACGTATTTCACCTGAAATGAAGACGCGTATACTTGGGAGGGGCAAGTTTTACTCTCCAAAGTCAGTGCTGTGCTAGAGGCATTTATATGAACGGGATATATTTTAGTGCATATGTGCTTTGAATATGCGAGCATTTGACAATTACTGAACTTGCTATGTTTGACTTACGCCAAGGGCTTGGTGTTCCAGGCCAACAGAAAGGGAAAGAGGCAAGTAGAAAATGGTGTTCGGGCCTGCAATTGATCGTCTCACCTGTTTCACCCATTCTTTGTGAAGAGGTCGATAACTCTTTGCCTCCACAGACGGCAGCTTTTTCTTGAAAATATCGTCAATGGTAATTTTCATTACCATGCCATCCTTGCTAGATGGAATGCCAAACAGACCAACCGCACCAGGAATGTCTGTAAAAATTAACGCTATCACTCCACCCCCAGCGTCACCGAGAATCAGATACGCCTTGTCGGAATTCGCTGCGTCACACCAGTAATCCATGCAGAGCAGGGGCTGCGGAAGACCCACAAGCATAAAGACTTTGTCGAACTTTCCTGCTCCAATATCAACGAAGTAAAGGTCACTTTCTGTTGTGCTGAGAGCTAGCATATTGTGATTGTTGATGCATACCATATCGGTGATCCATAAACTTTGGGAACGTTCCTTGTCGAAAGGCTCCAAACGACTGGTACCCCGATGCGCAAGTTCCAGCGTCCAAAAATTTACTGTGCCGTCTTTGCTCATAGTTGCATATCGGCCTGCTGCCAGATCAATCGACGTTCTTGACGACGGAAGAAAACACAGTTTTTGAAGCAGGTCTCTGTGCCTGGTTTCGATCTTACGCACGTTTGATGGGAGTGGGCGTTCCTTTAGTAGCTGTGCCATCATTTCTCGTTCCTGGTATTCCAACAGCATGTATGTCAAATACTCGTCCCAGTCTACTCCGCCATCACAATTTGTATCGACTTTCATGAACAGCATGTCTAGCTCATGATCAGGAACTCCTGCACCCATAGTCCGCCTCATGGCATTCCGGAATTCGTCCATATCCAGGCCGCCTCCGGAATCCTCGTCAGCTTCTTCAAATATATTTTGTAACAGTTTTAGATGTTCGTTATTCATTTGATCTTCCAACCGATTATCAGCTTGGCCGTCTTCGCCCCCATCGTCCGCATCTTCATTGTCCACAGTTGGTCGTTTTTGTCCCTCTTCCTCTTTATCTTCATCAACAGGGACAATAGAACCGTGTGCTGTCGTGGTAAGAGCGACAGCTCCGCGGCGTGGTACGGCATTTGACGAAATAGTTTCGCCGAGGAAAAACATTTTTATGTTGTGTCAGAAATGTAGATTATAAATACGAGAAATTGGTAATGTGCCAGAAAAGAGAACATGAAATCCTATAGCTACTTCATCGTCACCTGCCGATCGCATTCTGTGTAGAGGAAGGTGGCAAGTAGTTCTTGATTTTTGCACTTCCTTCTCGTGATAAGAGTGCTATTAATGTTTACGCCGGGAGGTTGAGCTTATCAAATGACAAAGTGGCGTGTTATGAATTGATATAAATTTGTGTGTAAAAAACGCAGCGTGAATGAAGGAAAGTTAATAAATATGTAATGGCTACCCTCACTCTTAATCGAGGGGGTGAGATGCAATCTGTCTGAGTCTGACAGCTAGGTCGCGCTGACAACTATAAACAGCGTGAGATATTCACAGTATCCAAGCTAATGGTCGCTGGATCCCCTATCTTGAGGTCAAAAGAACATGCCTACATATTTATTATATTTTTATCAACGTAAGTAGGTGCTCTGGTAGACGGTCCCTTATGTGCGTGTGTGTGTGTGCGTGGGCGTACCCCGTTTAGGTATGTACATGAGTCAGTGACCGTCCATTAGGTGTGCCGCTGCCTGCAGCCGTAAACGTACCTCACCTTGTGGGTTATTTTCTAATCGACTGATAATTTACGGGAGACAAACACTGATAGAAAAAAGTATCGCACAAACCTTTTGTTAAGGGTTCAAAAACTTCTAAATGAATGGACCGTCTATTTCGACGGTCTTTATCCTCTACAGGCCAAACCTTGGCGTTAGGCCAGAACTTAGGACAAATAAACAAAGAACTTCAAAAGGTTGCTAATTTTTGCGATGCTCTGGTCCACAAGGCCAAGAACGTAAAAAAAGAAGACAATCTTTCTCTGATGACTTTTTGTGGCCTGACCTCTGACCCGAGCTAAGAGAGAACTGTAACAGTAGCGGCGGAACACCTCCAATTAGGGGGGGGGGGCACTGCCGACTTTTGGTCCCATTCTTTCCATGCAACGCCCATAGGGCTAATGTTAAAATGCCAAAATCAAAGGGGGGCACGGTGCCCCGGTGCCCTCCCCGTTCCGCCGCCTATGAACTGTAATGCTTTCATCACGTGTTTTTTTTTTCCGAATTTCGAAAGCTGCTTATACAGTTTGTCGCTATACGGCCCAGTTTAGGAGAGTTACATACAGAGCGAAGGAGGGGTAGGAACACCTCTTCTTCCTCGATCTGTTACGATCATAGCATCTCAATCGGTACGGTCTGAATATTACACAGAAATGGTGCTTATCAGCTTTGGTAAAATTATGTCTGGACACTTTTGAGTGATCATGCCCTCGTGATAGACTAAGCAATCGGGTCCACCACAGTATCCGATGTTCAACAGCGTCACGGGTCTGAACACAGCTCTCAGTTGCAGCCCCGTCCATTCGCGATGAAGAAGTGGTGTCGTATACGTCCACATGTAAGGTCACATTTATTGAGGGTACCGTGGGCTAGAGGTAGAACACACAGTAAATCACTACCTATATTTGCTTCATTCAGCTCTACGTTTGGACTGAACTTAGGAGTTAGGAGATACCTATAAACGGGGCCGAGAGTATTGGTCCCGTTCAGCGGCGTGCAGTGACACCTATGTCGCCGTTGGCTCATGTTGGACAATAGCGCCATCTGTGCGAGGAGCAGATGGCCAACGCTAGTCAGCAGGCAAGCAAAGGCAATAGGCATTCGGCATATAAATATGCTATTGACATTCGGCATACACCTGCTAATATGGAATGACCTGCTTAGAGGTCAAACCGACGGTTTGAAGTAGCTTCAGGCTATAACGAGTCGTTTGTTGCCATTTTCAGTACTTAAGCTTCACTGGGTGGGCCACAATCTGCTGTGGGGGGTCGTGACCTTTGCTGACCTCTACAAGTCGAACGGTTAGGAGTGGCACTGAATAGTTTAACCCTCGCCCTGGCAGGGGGGTCGATACGACCCCCCCCCCCCGAGGTTTTTTGCGATGGGCGCCGAACCATTAGTCGGATCGTGCTGAAATTTCCAATAACCTATGGGGCATCCTTTGCGCAACTTTTGGAAAAAGTCGGGTCATGTCAGGTCACTGAGCTATGACGCCCGTCATAAAAGGTACAACTTCCGACCGTTTTTTCTCAAAATCGTACGTTCCGCGTAACTGGACGTGATCTCATCGACAAGAACGAAACTTTTCAGTGTGATTTATGTCAGATGGCAGGACATGGATCTTTACCTACATTGTATATTGACCTTTCTAAGGTCAACCAATGTCAGTGACCTCGCATGTTCAGTGTTCACACGATGACTTTTGTGATATGAGCTGTGCTTAGTGGGGTTTCTTGAGGTCCTGAATCCGAATCTGTGGTTCAATTTTCACCTAAGTGTCTTCAAAACTGTTCCCTGACCTGAACACGGTCAATCCAGGTCAATTAGGACTAGTGATGTCAATTACGGAAAATCGGAATACCGATACCAAACCAAATTCCAACCAAAACTGTGGAGAAATACCGAAACCAAACCAACTTGGGAACATGAGGAAAATACCAACTTTTTACCGATTTCTTAGCCTCTTAAACATTAGCGAGGGTTCATGATACCAACAAAATACCAAACACTTTAGGATTGAAATACCAAATACCGAGTTGGTATCGGTTTGGTATCGGTATACCAAAAAGTTGGTATCCGATTGACATCTCTAACTAGGACCGTCCTCGCCGGCGGTGGGTGTGACCTCCCGTGTTCCCGGGGACAACGTCACGCCGGTAATGACTGAAATACGGTGAACTTTGCATCATTATTCATTTTGTTGCTAATTCGTTGATTCGCCAATATTGGCGATGAAACTTGGAAAATTATAGCTTTCCCCCGAAATTTGACCTTTGACCTGCCATAACTGGGTCAAATATTGACCTAGGATCAAAAAAATGTACCACCAATCGCGAGTACTCGTTGAGAGCAATCGACTGGTTTTTATTAAGAAGCGCTACGACGCTTAGTTTCGAAACGCCAAGGGTTTCATCGGTCGCATCGACCCCCCGCTCCTGCCAGGCCGCGTTATGAAAAATGCACTGCCGGCGAGGGTTTAGCGATGCATTACTTACCTACTCCAAGTGTTCTGTTGTATGTGAGTTTCAAATGAATCCTAGCCATCCCTAATCTAGACTGAAACCGGGATGAACCTGGGCTGCCCGCTGCATATGGGCTATCTTGATAAGAATTGGAGCTTTTAGAAAATTTGCAATTTTTTAATCGTTACGTTACTTGAACTTTGAGTTAAGACGACCTTAGCTCAAAAGGGTACGAGTAGATATAAAAACAGAATCCATTCTATGACGCTCGTTGAGTTTATGGTACTTACCCTGTAAGTTCGACTGAAATTAATGCAAACTTTTGATCTTAATCCCTAAGATCAAATAAGGGTATAAGATTAAGATCTTATACCCTTATTTGGGTGGATCCGGATCCGATGTTATACCCTGACTATAATAACTATGCATAGGTACCAAGTTCTTGACTCTTGTGACCTGACGTGACTAGGACTTGAAATTTTTCAGGCGATGTACCAAATAGGTAGATGCCCATATACTAGTATGCCAAATTTGTTTGTGCTATGTGCCGCCGCTTTGCGCTATCTGCAAAAAAAATAATCTAAGGGGGCTGCATCATCCACTTGCATCATCCACCTGGCCTGCAGCGAGGGTTTATCACCATACCTTTTTCACTAGTGACGGTGCCGAGCTGCCGATGGCGGTGAGGGCGAGATCGAGTGTAATCATTCGCTGTTCTCGAGTCTATCAGCATCACGATGACTCAACAACAAATTTTGATAATGGTGCAGTGGGCCTTTTTTAAGCTCCCCGCTCCCTGATCACACTATTCTTCGAGATATTTTTGTTACCTATGACTATGAAAACATGCGATGCTGCTATGACGGATGGTTCAAGCCTTTATATTTTCTTTTATTTCTAATTCCTTTGACCTATTGTGCCATTTGTGACTTATTCAGTACTGTTTCCCTCGACAAATACCTTAAGATTATCAAGTCCCCATTGATATCCGTAACGCATTTAAATGCTTTTACTCGTAGAATTCAAGAGAGGTAGAATCACCCGCCAGGTACTTGCACAAAGGAAAAAACTAACACAAGTCGTGTTGTATTTATTTTTTATGTAACCACGTTTCTTTTTAGGTAGATAGATTTCAATCACCCGTTACACTGATGATTTTTTTTAAATTCTTGCGAAATGTGTTCTTCTTTTCTTTTCTTTGACACTTGAATGATACAACATTTCAAGTCAAAATGGTGTTATCCAGTTATAACCGAGTACGAAGAGCTTGAACTTGAAGTACCGGATAAACTTGATGAAGACGAGAGTTGCAGGTCGTAATCACCATACGCTTGTATGGTATTGTAGTCATTCATCGAAGAGTCGAACGAACTCAACCCGCCTAGATCAGAAAACAGTGAACCGTAATCGCTGCTTGATGAGCCCATTGCAAGGCTATCGCCTTGAAGTGATGCAAAACAAATTCCTGGCAATGTCGTTCCACAGGATGTTTTCATGTACTCAACTGGAGTTGTCAGGTCATCCTTCATTCGCAATATGTCAACTGAGTAGCAGTTGTCTTCGGGCTGATCAGGACGTGAAATCCAAACAGTTGTTGCTTGCTTCCCAGAGAAATTGAGCATTTCAATAACATCTTTATTGAAGTGTTGATCATTAGCAGGGAGCTGAAGAAGGTGACCGTTAACCCCTTGGCAGTAGAGTTCTAGATCATTTTCGGAACCTGACATAGCTGTTTGCAGCAAACATCCCGATCCTGTGAGAACGTACGCCTCACCAGTGTGGCTCTCTGGGCAAACCAAACTGGTTTGCTTGCAATTTTCGTTGCAATGTTTCAACTGTGTACGAACAAGCTCTAAATCTGCATTAGCTCCCAATACACGCTCATTGCACTGTTCTAATTTATAGTTTTGAATTTGTTGCAGACTTTGACATTGTTTTGTTTCTAGGATGCAAGATTCGAGTCTTTTTTCTAGTGATACTTTTAGATTCAGGATGTATTCCGCTCTTGTAATGTGTATGTGAAGGCTCTGAGCGTATTCCCCAACTTGATGCTGTAATGTCTCTT